AGAAAAAAAAACTTCATGTTATCACCAATATAAGTTCAAGTTCAAAGTGCATATTGCATTAGTCCAATCACCAATTTCATAAAAACATCAGAATTCAATGTGAAGCAAGGAAAGCAGATGGCAAGTAAATTAATTTCCTGTAACAATTAGATCAAAATGAGTTTCTCGTTAATTGAGGAGATCTGTTCAATTTATAAAGATAACTAAAACGATCACAGAACCTCTAGTATGCGATTCTCAATCTTGAGTACTACATATATAGATCACCAAAGTTGGCAACCATCATAGATAGTGTTAGGATTCCACATTGGAAGGGAAAGGGGTGGGCATGTGGGTTATAAAGGCTTGGACACCCTCTCTTGGCAAGCCGATTTTCCAAGGAGAGTTCTATTCAAGCTCATGAAAGACCCATGGCCCAGCCTAATTGTTTGAGTTGTTGGGGTGAGTTCCTATCAATTAGTATCAGAGCACGATCATGCGCCCACGTGAAATCGCCTATGTGGTAAGCTAACCCATGGCAGGCTAACCTTGGGCCTAGGATGCTACCTCGAGAAAGGGCATGGAGGCCTAAGGGAAAGGGGATCCACGTAGTCATCCAAGGGTTAAAGAGGCCGACATGGACGTCGGTTGCGAAAGCGTGGTGGAATGTTAGGATCCCACATTGGAAGGGAAAGAGGTGGGCATGTGGGCTCATTTTGAAAAGTTAGTCAAAACAGCAAGATCTGTTTTATTTATTTATTTTCATAAAAACAAGTAGTCATGAAGATTCTATCCAAAATGAAAAAAATAAAACAAAATAAAATGCATTGAAGTAAGAATCATTCATGAAATTTGAATTTTAAGTTAAACCAGGGCCTCACCCATGTCTTTTACCTATGCAGCATGATAAACAAAATGCTAGACGTAATTACATACTGCCAATTCATATCAGGTTTAGTAAATAACATGAAAACAAACCTAATTTCACCAGTGAAAGCACCGCCTTTGCGGACCCAGCAGTTTTGTGCAGCAACATGGAAATCAGATCTCAATAAACTTTTGACCAGAGGGAGAAACACAAATGGAGGGCTTACAACAACCTCTGCAACCCAAAAGAATAAAATCAAACTCCACAACACAATTTAAAAAAAAATAAAAAAATCCTTCTATAAATATCGCATTAAAAGAAACCACCCACATTAAGCATTTGATTTCTTTAGCCTGAGTAAATTTTATAAAGTTTGGGTTTTTGCTTCTTAATATGCTTAGGCTAAAACAGTACTAGTTTCAGAAAGTAAAAAACTCTTAGTATTTTGGTTAGCTAGATAAAAACTGCCTTATGATCCAAATCATTAAAAGCGATTTACTTAAATTAAAGGAACTAGACAAGAGAGCTAATTAAAACCTACCAACAACGTCCTCTGAAGGAACTTCAGCTTCATTCAAGGTCGTAACGATCTTCTTCACTTCACCAGTTGTCCCATTCTGATACCAAATTATTAAACACAGTCGTCACTTTACTTTTGCAAAGACAATTCCATACTAGTAATGGAATCCGAAACACTAAATCACTGATTGGATCTCATGAAACCGATCGATAAAGATTTGAAAGTAAAAAAGTTTAATAAAAATTAAAGAAGAATAGTTGAGTGAAGTAAATAGAGAGCCTTACGCATTTCCAGTTGCCGCCGACGAAGAACTTTCGGGCCATGTTTGTTTGATAGGCGATGAAATCGAGAGAAAAGGGCGATGAAGACACAATTCAATCTTTCTTCTAGAGAGTAACTGAACTCAGAAAATCGTCATTAATAAGAATCGGATGAGCTTTTTCTGATGGATTGGGCTGGCAGACGACGAGTTTCTAAAATGGGCTCCAGCTCAAATTTCATAACTAAAACAATTTGAATGGGCTTAAACAAGTCCGATCTAAAACCCATCTCCTGACAAGTCCCATCTTCAACGGCATGAATTAAGTGTACGCACACCACAACTGTTAAACAGTAATTCTAATTTTAAAATAAAACTATTGAGGCTTCGTTTGGTTACAATTGGGTGTTTTTGGGAAAAGTTTTCTGAAAAAAGTTAAAAAAAGTGAATTGGGCGGGTATTACGATGTAGGATTTATAAATTAATAAAATACCCCTATATTTGTTTATTTACAAAACACCCCCTATATAAAATCTTAAAAGTTAACAAAAAACACCCCCAACCCAATGTCAAATACGGACAGTCGGCCACCACCGTCGGAGGGTGGCCGGGTTCACCATATTGGCGCATGACGGAAAAGGTAGATCGACGCACTACCGGTCAGATTCAGCCGGTAGTGCGCCATCCTAACAGATCCGGCCATTTTCGGCAGTGGTGGCCGGAATCTGGTAAATATGAATTACTGGGGTGTTTTGTAATTTTAAAAAAATATTAGGGGTATTTAATTAAATTATCAAATTAAGAGGTTTAAAAAAAGTTGAATAATATTGGGAGTAGTATTCCCAAAAATCAAAGTTTTTGGATATTTTACTGTTAACTTTTTTGGGAATACTAAAAGTAGTATTCCCAATTGGCAACCAAACGGAGCATGAATGTTTTACCACAAAGCAGTGTTAGTACTTTGAATTTCCAGACCAGGTATAAAGAACAAAAAGTGCAAAGGTTTATGGAAGATCAGTATATCCAAAATTAGAATGGAATGAACAATCATGAAGTGATCATCATAAGCTTTAGAGGGGGCCATGTTTGTTTCCTCATTTATCAGTATAGTTATAATTCTATAGAGAAGAAAACTATTTTAAACAGTGGTCAATTTAAATAATAATGGCAAAGGGGGACAGATACCTCCCTAGATAATTCTAGGTGATGCAATTTCAGCACCAACATTCTCTTTCAGCCATTTCCTCAACTCACAATGGACCTGGCAAATGTTTAAAATACATTGTGAGAAATATAAATGAGTTGACGCATTTGAGGCACAACTAACCTTAGAAGCAGAAAGAAAAAGCAACCAGATTAAGAGAATTATAGACATAACAGACAAGGCAACCATATGACTGAGATAAACTGAAAAAATGACTACTGTGTGACTTTAATATGTGAACCAAGGTATCAACTTGAAATCTAAGTTTAAAGCAGGGTAGTAAACATGGTTTTTTGTGTAGTGCCCATCAGAATTAAAAAACAGTAGCTAAATTAAAACATGCCTAAAAGTGCAATACTCCATGCCACTGAAACATCAAATTGGAAATGTGACTTAAATTACACTACTTCCTGAGCCTGAGTGGGGTTGCAACCTTGCCTGTTCCAATAGCCCAAACTGGCTCATAAGCTAACACCACATTGTCCCAATTTGATACTTTGTCTGCAACAAGAATAAAATTAATAATTCACAAAGAGCAGATAAACGAACAAAAAAAGTAAAATAAAATAAGACAATGTAAGCCAATGTAGTATTGTTGTATGTTTGATAAATTAAAAATCTTGGTTGAAGGATGTTGTATGGGATAAAGAATAAAGTAGTAATAATAAATAAACAATTAGTGGATTAAGTGTTGAAATTGTAAAGTAATAACTAGTGCTAATAATATAATGCAGCGAGCGGGGCATTAGTCAAAGGAAGGGTTGGCAGTTTTGTCGATTAGTAAACGCAATTGACGGCCACAAAATTTACGTCTCCACGTTCCATCTCGATTTGTGTTTAAGAAGCGATTACCAAACCAATTAAATTAAATTAACACCAATTTTAAATTGCTCTTGGAGTTTGTATTACTATGATCTGTGATTTTCACAACGAATCTAATCTGTTCCGAAATTAAGTTGGAACTTGAAGTATATTGAATGAATGAGGGGATCGAAAAGAACGAATAAAGTTAGGGTCTGTTTAGGAGTTTTTTTTTTTTGTTTTCATCGGTAAGGTTTTTAATTAGACTAGTTTTGAGGTATTATAAAACCATTATTTGTTAGATTTTGTATGAATTGGTTTTGACGGAATAAAAAACCATTCAAAACCAGTGTAATGTATTTTTTAAAGGTTTATAAAACACCACAAATCGGGGTCTTTTGGTTAGTTTTAAAATTTTATTCTACAAATACTCTGTCCGCTATAAAACTATCTCAATTATACTAAATATAAAATAATTTTAAGCACTTATAAAATTTTTTTATATTAAAATATCATTTCTAAATGCTTTCTTGGAGAAGTGGAGCTACAATTTTTCAATCATTCAAAACGTTGCAAAGAACGGCGAAGAATGATAAGGAGACTTTATCACATTTGAAGTTGTAAAATTCTAATAAGTAGAAAACAAATAAAGAACCCTTACCTCGTAATTGAAAAAACAAAACTCCCAAATATGGGTTGAAAGTTGAGGTATTTTTATAGGCATATATGTAAATTTAACATTTAAAAAAAACTGTCAGAACCGTTAAAAAATAAACCCTCAAACGTAAGTTGGATGTTTTAAAAACCGCTACTAAAAACCCCTCAAAATCGCTATAGTAATTTTACTCTTATAACCGTTACCATGAAACTCCCAAGCAGACCCTTAAGGTCAACCAACCCCTAGGTAGTCAAATAGAAATTATTAGGTATATTACTTAATACTGAATTCGAGTCATTTCTCAATTGCTAATAAGGATAGTTATTAAAACTCTTACCCGACTGATAATTTTAGCCTTTTAGGATCTCAAACAATTAGTTAAGATATGCATAAACTGATCCAGATATCGCCAATCATAAAAAATAAATAAATAAAGGGGAGTTTGACTTGTTTATTAAAAGATGAAATTAGTGCTGTGGTTAGTGAACTTGCCTCAGTCTAATTACATAATTTGGTGTAGATGAGCCAGTCTTTATCAATGGAATATATTTTTTCTGGAGAGAGTACGGATATTAAAAGGAAGCTCCCATTGTCAAAGTTTTATGTTAGTCAACTCGTGAAGCACAAAGACAGATGGAACCCAACAGAAGAAAAAGAAAAATAGCCTTTAAATGCTGGAATGTGAGGAAATTCTTAATTCAAATCCCATCAGAAGAAAACAAATACACCAGCCTTCAATTTCAGTAGAACATATTTTGTCTTGTTTCTATAACAATTAAAAGTAGCCTGAAAAGGAGATTTTGGACTTTGAAAACACTTTTCTTCTACTTATTATAATATCAATCAAAGCCACTTATTTAATCCACAAACGGATTTGAGTCTACAAAATCTCAAGTCAAAAAGGGTTCCGGAATTTGGCTTATTATACTTGATATTCAATGCTTAACATCAACTTATCATAAAAACATACTACAACTGCAACATTACAACTCATGTACTTCCAGAAAGCTTTTAGTGAGGAAAAACTGCAGGCATGGCAATACCTGATACAAAGGTCTTTAACTTCAATTCTTCTTCACTGTGGCAGACTTGATGATGTCAATGAACTCGGGCTAATCCAAATGAAAAAGAAAAGAAAAAAGTCAGCCACTCAATTCAAAATACAAGTAACCCAAAAACCAACCATTGGTAGTGAAAATTAAATAATAATTGTACCTTTAGTGAAGCTCCACCAACCAAAAATCCATCAACATCTGGTTGTGCTGCCAACTCTTTGCAGTTTGCACCATTAACAGAACCTATCCAGCAGATATTTAAAAGATTAGACCAATAAATGAACCAATGAAATAAAGGTGAAAAAGTGAATTAATTTGTCTTATATAAACCTGGGTCTGTCATTCCCAGATGATGGACTCCCAGGAGACCAGCAGGATTGCTTTGTTGGACCTCTATTTAAGCTGTGTAGATTTTTGTTTCCATAGAATAGAATTCTGTTTTTGGTTTCATTTCAATAGTATTTGTTGCGTGTAGTTTATTTATATAACATCTACTTCCATTAATTTGAAACATGTTACAGAACAAATTTGACACACTTATTTCTTTGGTCTCAAAGCATGTCCATGGTGGTGCACTGGTGTGTAAGCCCACCACACCTGTTAAACAGTAATTCTAAATTTTAAAATAAAACTATTGTATGTTTTACCACAAGGCAGTGTTATTACTTTGAATTTCCAGACCAAGGTATAAAGAACAAAAAGTGCAAAGGTTTATGGAAGATCAGCATATCCAAAATTAGAATGGAATGAACAATCTTGAAGTGATCATCATAAGCTTTAGAGGGGGCCATGTTTGTTTCCTCATTTATCAGTATAGTTTATAATTCTATAGAGAAGAAAACTTATTTTAAACAGTGGTCAATTTAAATAATAATGGCAAAGGGGGACAGATACCTCCATAGATAATTCTAGTTGATGCAGCAATTTCAGCACCAACATTCTCTTTCAGCCATTTCCTCAACTCACAATGGACCTGGCAAATGTTTAAAATACATTGTGAGAAATATAAATGAGTTGAAGCATGTGAGGCACAACTAACCTTAGAAGCAGAAAGAAAAAGCAACCAGATTTAAGAGAATTATAGACATAACAGACAAGGCAACCATATGACTGAGATAAACTGAAAAAATGACTACTGTGTGACTTTAATATGTGAACCAAGGTATCAACTTGAAATCTAAGTTTAAAGACAGGGTAGTAAACATGGTTTTTTTGTGTATGTGCCACTTCAGAATTAAAAAACAGTAGCTAAATTAAAACATGCCTAAAAGTGCAACAATCCATGCCACTGAAACATCAAATTGGAAATGTGACTTAAATTCAACTTACTTCCTGAGCCTGAGCTGGGGTTGCAACCTTGCCTGTTCCAATAGCCCAAACTGGCTCATAAGCTAACACCACATTGTCCCAATTTGATACTTTGTCTGCAACAAGAATAAAATTAATAATTCACAAAGAGCAGATAAACGAACAAAAACAAGTAAAATAAAATAAAGACAATGTAAATGCCAATGTTGTGGTTCTAGAATCTTTTCTGCTCGCTGATATGACCTTCCATTTTCTCAGTCAATTGGAAAATTTTTGAACCAGGATAATTCTAGTAAGTTATATTAAGTAATTATCGTCAATAAGTAAGCATCCCTTAAACCAACACAACTACAGAACTACAGTAAAATCTAAAGAAGTGAGAATTCTGTTTTCCAACTGGAAGTACCTGCAATAGCTTTTGTTTGTGCAGCAACAACAGCCATTGTAGATCCTGATTCTCGCTGCTCTAGAGTCTCTCCAATACAAGCAATCACTTTCAAGCCTAGGGAAAGTGCATAAGCAACCTTATCTCCGACAAACTGCATAGATAAGTTGGGATTATGGCTTGAAAATGTTGTAACTGACAGATATGCTATATTTAATAGCATATAATAAATAGAAAAAAGAAAATACAAATGCAACAAAACTTACGTCATTTGACTCATTTAAAAGAGCTCTTCTTTCAGAGTGGCCAAGAATGACCCAAGGAATACCCAAATTTACAAGCATCTCAGCACTGTGCAAATAAGAGTAAAGAAAAAAAAACTTCATGTTATCACCAATATAAGTTCAAGTTCAAAGTGCATATTGCATTAGTCCAATGACCAATTTCATAAAAACATCAGAATTCAATGTAAAGCAAGGAAAGCAGATGGCAAGTAACTTAATTTCCTGTAACAAATTAGATCAAAATGAGTTTCTCGTTAAATGAGGAGATATGTTCAATTTATAAAGATAACTAAAACGATCAGAGAACCTCTAGTATGCGATTCTCAATATTGAGTACTACATATATAGATCACGAAGTTGGCAACCATCTTAGATAGTGTCAGGATCCCACATTGGAAGGGAAAGGGGTGGGTATGTGGGTTATAAAGGCTTGGACACCCTCTCTTGGCAAGCTAATTTCCCAAGGAGAGTTATACCCAAGCCCATGAAAAACCCATGGCCCAACCCAATTGTTTGAGTTGTTAGGGTGAGTTCCTATCAATTGGTATCAGAGCATGATCTTGCGCCCACGTGACGTTGATAGGCAGACCAGTGGCAGGCTAACCTTGGGTCCAGGCTGCTACCTCGAGAAAGGGCATGGAGGCCTGAGGGAAAGGGGATCCACGTAGTCACCCAAGGGGTAAAGAGACTGACGTGGACGTCGGTTGCGGAAGCGTGGTGGAATGTTAGGATCCCACATTGGAAGGAAAAAAGGTGGGCATATGGGTTATAAGGGCTTGGGCACCCTTCCTTAGCAAGCCGTTTTTCCAAAGAAAGTTTTACCCAAGCCCATGAAAGACCTATGGCCTACAGCCCAATTGTTCGAGCTGTTGGGGTGAGTTCCTATCAGATAGATTAAAGCCCAAATTGAAATCCAAAAGGAATAGCTCATTTTGAAAAGTTAGTCAAAACAGCAAGATCTGTTTTATTTATTTATTTTCATAAAAACAAGTAGTCATGAAGATTCTATCCAAAATGAAAAAAATAAAACAAAATAAAATGCATTGAAGAAAGAATCATTCATGAAATTTGAATTGTAAGTTAAACCAGGGCGTCACCCATGTCTTTTACATATGCAGCATGATAAACAAAATCCTAGACGTAATTACATAATGCCAATTCATATCAGGTTTAGTAAATAACATGAAAACAAACCTAATTTCACCAGTGAAAGCACCGCCTTTGCGGACCCAGCAGTTTTGTGCAGCAACATGGAAATCAGATCTCAATAAACTTTTGACCAGAGGGAGAAACACAAATGGAGGGCTTACAACAACCTCTGCAACCCAAAAGAATAAAATCAAACTCCACAACACAATTAAAAAAAAATAAAAAAATCCTTCTATAAATATCGCATTAAAAGAAACCACCCACATTAAGCATTTGATTTCTTTAGCCAGAGTAAATTTTATAAAGTTTTGGTTTTTGCTTCTTAATATGCTTAGGCTAAAACAGTACTAGTTTCAGAAAGTAAGAAACTCTTAGTATTTTGGTTAGCTAGATAAAAACTGCCTTATGATCCAAATCATTAAAAGCGATTTACTTAGATTAAAGGAACTAGACAAGACAGCTAATTAAAACCTACCAACAACATCCTCTGAAGGAACTTCAGCTTCATTCAAGGTCGTAACGATCTTCTTCACTTCATCAGTTGTCCCATTCTGATACCAAATTATCAAACACAGTCATCACTTTACTTTTGCAAAGACAATTACATACTAGTAATGGAATCCGAAACACTAAATCACTGATTGGATCTCATGAAACCGATCGATAAAGATTTGAAAGTAACAAGGTTTCATAAAAATTAAAGAAGAATAGTTGAGTGAAGTAAATAAAGAGACTTACGCATTTCCAGTTGCCGCCGACGAAGAACTTTCGGGCCATGTTTGTTTGATAGGCGATGAAATCGAGAGAAAAGGGCGATGAAGACACAATTCAATCTTTCTTCTAGAGAGTAACTGAACTGAGAAAATCGTAATTAACAAGAATCGGATGTGCTTTTTCTGATGGATTGGGCTGGCAGACGACGAGTTTCTAAAATGGGCTCCAGCTCAAATTTCATAACTAAAACAATTTGAATGGGCTTAAACAAGTCCGATCTAAAACCCATCTCCTAACAAGTCCCATCTTCTACGGCATGAATTAATATTTACATCTCATATTCTTCTCCACCTAAAGCAAACACAACTACCATTTGATCTTCTTTTTGAGAGTTTTTAATTCATTTCTTTCTTTTTATTTTTCTTCTTTTTTGTTTTCTATTCTAAGTTTTATATTTTAAGAACTTGATACGAATTGCATTGTTTAAATAAAAAACTAATTATAACGGAACTTAAATCAAAGAAGGTGTTTATGTTATACGAACATTAAATATGTTAGTCTCAAAGAAAAGATATGCATGAATGGAGTCATTCCATAGAAACCGAACAATTATAATTCAGAAATTTGTATTCTTGAATATTTATTTTTCAAGTTTGTATATCATCAACAAATTAAAATTGTTGGTGTATATCGTCTCAAATCACATGGTAGATGGTTTCCAGCGGGGTTGTCCACTTTGAGACAAACTAAGCTACTGGTAAACCTACACAGTTTTGTCTTGAAAAAACTTTTCTGGGTGGCGATGATATTTTTGTGCTATATAAAGGATCAAGACCCTTGCCTTCTAGACGATGTGAAAGGTTGACACAAACAAAAATCAAGCTTTTTTTGTTATGTTGTGTTAGCATGGGTGATATATAATTCTATTTTCAGAAAATTAAAGTTAAAAAAAAAAAAAAAGAAGCTGAGAAAAGACCAAATAACAATCATCCAGCTACTACTGTTTAATTGTTTATGGTAACAGACTACATAACCATGGAGAAGAAGATTAAATTCACTGACTCATAAAAGTCTGGAAATTTTATCATTGGCTTTCTCTTTTTCCACGAGTTATCACAGTTCCCAGCCCCGTTTTCTCTTACTCTTGCATCTGCAAAAACCACCATGAACATATATTATGTATATAATGTCAAACTCAAAAAGATATAAGATCAAATTAATTATTGCCAATCTAACTGATATATAGTCTAGAGATTTGAATTAGATACATATAATATAACTGATGAGATAGTCTGAACTTGATTTTGGAAGCTGCAGGCTATAGGCATTTATAAAATTGACGTCAATTCATATCTGTTAGACAACCAAAACCCCAAAACGTAATTAATTCATAATAAACTTTAGTAATTTTAACTTGAATATTTTATAATCTAACATACATATCATCATCATCATCATATATATATATATATATATATATATATATATATGGGAGTGTTATATTAGATGTGTTTAGTTAGATTGGTATTATTTATTCCAATCTAACCAAACACATTTAATATAACATTTGAGATTTGTTAAAATACTCTAGCCACAATCAAAGTTTAAATTTGAACAAAAACACTCTCATTCACCCAAGCTACTGTTGGCTGTCAACCACCACTGCTGGTTGTCAGAATAGATCTGATCATTAACAGCTAGAATAGATCTGGTCGTTTTTTGCCAGATCCATGATATTATCGACACAAGGTTGGCCATATTTGCCAAGTTGTGAGCCGTTCCCGCTACTATTGACGGTGGCCAGATCTGGCCGTGGTCTTGGGTAATTTGGTTGAAGTACAAGGGTAATAATGTCTTAAAAATCTTGTATATAAGGCTAAAACTATTTATGAATTTTTTTGTAAATTGTTTAGATAACAAAGACATTATTATCCTAAAATTTTATTAATATGGGATAAAATTATATATTGATAAAATTGTAATAAAAATAAGATTATTAAGTAATCTCATAATACCTAAAAAAATTATGATATTTAGAATATCACTTATATAACTAACAGTGATTACTATTAATATTAGAAGCTTATTATTATCTTATATTACTTTATAACTAAATATGATAATATAAGTAATATAACAAGATATTATTGGAGTATAGGTCGATAACCCTTAACCAAACAGCCCCTTTTACAGCCTCCAGGTCTTAAACCGACCCTGATAGATATCATAATACACAACATTATGTGCTATAGCAGTAAGAGTTGCGAACCTTGACTACGTTATCATATGACACAAATTCAACTTAAAATCAATGCACGCAAAAGAACATATATATATATATATATATATATATATAGAGAGAGAGAGAGAGAGAGAGAGAGAGAGAGAGTACTAGTTCTGAATTTCTTTGTCAGACTATGAACTGGGAAATTGACTGCCGGTGGCAGTAGAAATTTCAATTTAATTGAAAATAAAATATCTGATTAAGCACACTACTTTTCGAAAACATTCTCTGTTGTCAACAAATTCATGCATTTAACAAGATGTTTATGTACCTTAAGGTTGCAAACTTTAGCATTTGTTCTGCCGAGGTAGACTTCAACATCACTCCTGGAGCGGAGTTTCCGGCCTTCTGGACTATAATAATACTGCATATATAGTTAAAAAATACATAGTGTTATGTTTATGATCAGTGGCACCACTCAGTTTAGTTACTTTGCAGTCTAATCAAATAGGAATAGCTAAGATTTTAAAAGGACTCGTAAAACTACGAATAATTGAAGTACAATGAGCATTGTTAAATATGGCATACTACGCCTACACATTTCCAAGTTAATATTCAAAATAATATTCAAAATGATGATAGGACGATTTTAAATTTAAAATAAATTTTTATCCAATCATATCTTGTAACATAAGTTTATGAGAGGAAGTTTATATGAAAAGGTTGTAGGTATAATATTACTCAAACCTTAGACTTTAAAATTGTACTAGTACTTTGGTGAAATAGGAATTATTGATAGTAGACATTATTGGCCATATTGTTCTAATAAGAACCTAGAAAAAAAGTATGTGAAGAAAATGTTTGTGTCTTCGCATGTTCATGGCTTAGTTGCATATGTATTTTTGTAGTTGTGTTGTAGATTGTGAAAGCAGATCAAATATATATCAAAAACGATAATAAGTTAAATAAATAAAAGTAACACAAAAGACATGATAATTTTAAGTAGTTCAATATAGTGTCTACTTCCATGAGTAAGAGAGAAATTCATTCATATATATTATAAAGATACAAGAGTATGAAGCAAAAAAAACAATAACAAACAGCTTGATACTTTAAAAGAGAAATGATATCTCTAATATCCTAAAACAATCGAAGAATTTGATACCTGAAAAACAAGGGCATCATGAAAATTTAATACTAAATATGTTTAGCCCTAGGTAAAATAATATATGCCTACCAAGTCTCGAAACTAATAGACATCTCAAAAGTATTTTAATTTCTTACATCGCAAAAAACTTAGTGATACCCTTGACACAAATTATCTCCTCTATACTCTAATTGATTCTCGACTTCATATAATATTTATAGGCATATTGAGATCTTGAATTTGCAATAAGAACTACGATCTATTTATTGTAGGAATTATATTTTAGTTTCCCTTTCACTAGTTTTGTTCTTATTTTGGTATGCTCTTTTTAAAGAATTATTAACTAAAACTCATAAAGGAAACGGGTCGAACCTATGTGACATGTTCAATTGATTAGAGAGAAAAATCAGTGTCTAGATAAATGTTTTCTTGAAGAAATACAAACATTTTTTTTTTTTTGATAATCATGGTGTTCGAGTCAGTTTGTGCTTATTTCAACTAATCTTTAAGATCTATTGAATACCCTCTAAGCCCAAATGATTAGATGAGCCACGATGAAATACAAACATTTATCTTGCACTTATTTACTTTTTCCGGTCAATAAAGCAACATATATATATATTCCAAGGTGATTTCTTGTATATGTTTTGGTACAGAAGAAATTTAATTTTAAGGCTTAGCATTAGTGCAAGGTACAAGGTATAGTACTATCTTTTGCAACCATGAGAATACCAATCTATTGGTCCCTCTTGCTAATAATTATTGCCTAGGTTGGTAAAAGATATTGATTGAAGATATATAGATCGACAACTATGATTCTTTCATAGTTAGATTAAGAGACGGTTCAAATTCTATTGATACATATGGAATATAATCAACTTACTTAGCTTAGATGATTAATTCCAAAATATAGCAATAACTAAGATACGTGATTTTTTAAAATGTGGATGTAGTTAATTAGCGATAGTAGAAAACTACAACTAACGCCGATTAACATTTAAAAAAAAAAAAAGTGAAAAAACCCTCAAACATAACTTTTATTTACTTAAAACTGGATTTATTATTTAGTGTCTGTTATCGCTTGTTAATAAAGGTATGCATTTTAAAAATTTCAGGTTGTACATACCTAACTAAGAAATTTTCATGTATACATATTCCTCTCATAAGGGTTGATAGCTTTTAATTTAAATTTCACTACAAAGGTTAAAGTTCTAATTGATTATTCTCGTAAAACAAATGATGTGTTATAATTATGAGGATCGATGGGTTTAATTATTAGCTTAACTACTTAATTTTACTATTTATTAGGTATTGTATGTGTTTAGGGTTTTGTTGATGAAGAGAAAAAGAAAGAAAGAAAATCTTGTGATCGGTCATTACAAAATAGGAATATAACAAACAAATAGATTTCAACAATAAATAAACGAAAATGTTGAGTTTCACTAATAATGTATCAGTATTTCTTTTTAAAGATGCTAAAGGTTTCCCTAAAGTGTTGGGTTTTACTAGTAATGTATCGGTATTTCTTTTACACATGTTATTCGTACATTTTCTTCTTGTATTTATATTTTTTCAAGGGTTTAAGGCTCATTAGGTCACTTTATCGGTATTACATCTTTTTAATTTGTTTAGTTTATGTAATTTTTCTCATAGTAAATGGGTAGTACTACATTTACAACCAAATCTCATAAACTTTTTCTCATAACTTCAAAATAACAGATCGCAATTGATCAACTCGTAAATAGGTATTGCCTACTCACTAACGTTGGGGTTGAGAGCTAATCCTTATCCCATAGTAAATACTATTTTTCTTTTCTTTCCTAACAAACTAAGAACTAGGGTTAAGATTGTTAGGGTTTGACATATAAAAACTAAAGAATTTAAGAAAAAATGAATTAAATTTCAAAAACCATATCCATTCCATAGATAATACACATCTCCTTAACACACACAGTTATGGGGATTAAAATCTAATTCATTAAGGAAAATTTTCATTATTGTTATCAATTTCTGATTGATATTTTCTTAAAGTTTTCTTCTAGGGTTACATTGAGTCACATATAGATAGAGAAGTTTTGAGATTATTTGTTGAATATTCTTGCTCTCTCTGACCTATCCTTTAGTGGTTACAAATATTTATACAAAATCCATATGTAAACTGTTCATACTGTTCTTGGTAACTAACTCAATATTTCTTAATTTTGGTATTGATCATTCAAGGGTAAATATTGAGATTTTTTATGCAAAGCATCATTTCAGTTAGTTTTTCTTCTTCAGTTTTGTGTTATCTTCTAATTAACCTGCTGTGACTTTCTAGTTAATTAGCTCTATATAAAGCACCAAGAAATTCCAAACAGTAAGATAGTTTCAATCTGATAACAGGTCTTGATGATCTACAAGCTTCTACTTAATATTTGTAAAGAACAGTTCGAAATTGAAATATCATTTTTTTTTTTTTACAATAATGAACATATACAAATTTAACCCTAGAAAGATATAAAAGCTATAAAATATAATCCAAAAAACAAACACAAAACGCAAACATGCATGCAACAGATATTATCAATATGAAATCGGAACCAAAAGTCGTAGAAAAGATATTGAAGACTTAGGCATAGAAACCCTAGATCGTCTTAGATCAATTACTTTGAGATCAATTCATATAATTATATACGATCAATATATGAACACTCATTTACCTTATCTACGTGTCCAGCGCTTGCACCTCGCTGGCGAATCTGCGTACGGACAGTCCAATTCGGCGGCAACCACGAGGGTGGATCATCATTCTTACTCTTTGGTCTACCAGGCCTTCTTTTTTGCCCGACTACCTTTCTCTTCCTCCCCACTTCAACAGGTTCTGAGGCGCTAGGAGATGATGAAATGTTGATAGTACTTTCATTGACTCCGGAGTTCTCTGTGGCTTGAAGAGGTTCAGGTGCTGCCTGAATTAATTGTTCATTGACTCCGGAGTTTTCAGCCGGTTGAAGAGGTTCAGGTGCTGCCTGGGTTTCTTGTTCAGCAACCATCAACAATGGAGGGCGCTGTTCCTGAGACAATAGTGGGTTATCGTTACGAGGGGTTCGCGATTGAAGCCCCATAGCCACCCTCCGGTCCACCAGTTGTGGTTCCCATTCGATATCATCAAACAATGGCGTACAGTTTACAAAGATATTCAGGTCTTCATTCTTCACTTCCTCTCCCATTTGCCCTTCTACTCAAGTTAATTACGGAGACACTAAAATTTTTTTATCTATAAAGACACAAACGTTCAAAAAGAGGAAGTTCTTCAAGTGGGGTTTCAAATTCTTATTGGTGAAATTGCGTCAGCCGTTGGATTAATATCATCTTTTAGTTCATGTAATGAAATCATTTAATTTCTTACCAGGTATGGATCCTTTGTATTCGTTGTCACAGATATGTCCTAACGGTTTCTTGGGTGGCAATATTAAAGTTGTATTTGTACTAATTAATTTCAGTTTAATTATATATATATATCCATTTTGGGAAGGAAATTATTCAAATAAAACTAGTGAATTATACTTTTATTCAAGTTTAATTTGGATTGTTCTGAGGAAAAAAAAATATATATCTTGAATAGATTTATGATTTTAAAGTAAATTTTCGCCCGCGAAATAAATATACATGATCAATAAGTATCTAGTGTTAAGAATTTAATAAATACGACGATTGATTTGGTCTTCTTTTAGTTCATTAATTACTTATCATCGTGGAAGAATGATAATTGATCTATCACGATCTCTAATTACTTCCTATCATTACAACGATTAATTTGATCTTATTTTTAGTTTATTAATTACTTCCTATCATCGCGGAAGAATGATAGTTAATCTATCACGATCTCTAAAGTCTAAACTTCAATTAATCTCTCTAATTAACCTCCAAAGGGTTGATTTGACGGTCAAGAAACTTTGCTATCTTCATTGACTCTTTGAGTTCAAATATTAATGTCACCTATCAAATTTGTGACTTATTTTAAAATATTAAGCTTGTATAGTATTCAATGTTTCCTATAGACTAGTCTGAATTGTGTATAAACTAATCCGAACATCTTGATCATAAAAAAAAAAATAATACTGTTCTCTTTTATTAAATTTGTCAGCCTTTAGTTATTTCTTGACATTTAACACTAATTATTTTAATCACTATATTCATATGGGAGAAATTATTAATAGATATAGCATCGATTATTAAGTTTTAATCACATGCAGCCCAGTCTTGACAAGGGGCTTGAACCCGGTCTATCAAATTGATTTTGGAACATAGTCAAATTGTTTTATAAAATTTTGCTTTTTATTTTTCCCTCCATTTATCATGGATGGAAAGGTTTATACACTTGTAATTTTGTATAGAAGAGCTGATAGGGGGGCCACGGCTTCATTCAAGTTCAACCAATCAATTTTCTGCATTTAATATGCCAGACTACGAAAATTAAGGATGTGGAATCCAGATAGGATCTGACCTATAAAATTCTTTAATTTACCTTTCTAAAGGGTAGAATATCCCTTTAATTTCAACACACGGGACCAAATTAATCGGCCAGAAGTTAAGAAAAATGATAGGGACATCGACGTTTTGCATCAAATTTTTACATCGAACAACGTGTTTATTGAATTAGACTAACCACGTATCACGTTAACAAATATTCTACGACGATCGTTCATTTGAAATGGATTCCTGTTCATATTATATAGACGGTCGTCTACCTAGAATAAATGTCCGTTCATAGTTTAAATTAAAAAAAATTGACTTAAATTGTTTATGGACACTCGTCCTCTTATAAGAACGACCGTCCATAATCCATAGTTATGGACGGATTGTTCTCTTATGGATTATGGACGGGTTGTCCTCATAAGAGGACGGACATCCATCTTTTAATATTAACAAATTTTAAAATTTATGAATGCTTGTCTATTATTCAGTGAACGAACGTCACTCATTGCTTAAATGGATTACAGAATCTGTCCAAATGGTCATTGCATAAACATGTTTGTTTAGTTTGGAACGTGCTTATGACCCACGTTATTTGGAATCTGCTTATGACCCACCTACTAAATGGACTACCGAATCTGCACTACAATTAATCAATTTCCATCTTTCTTCTAACCACTTTCATTAATGCTGCTGCAGTTACATATCCAATAATGTTTATCCTATGTATATCAAAAAATTGAATGTAATTTTTTATTTAAATTAAACAATGGACATGCGTCCTTCTAAACGGGACGCCTATCTATTGAATGTAAATTTTTTTAAAATTTTTTGAACAGGTATCCATCTTATATAGACGTCTATCCATAGTAAATAGACACCCATCCATATAAGATGGACAAACGTCCATTATTTTTCTTTTAAAATTTTATGGACGAACATCTCGTCCATAGTAAATAGACACCCGTCTATATAATATGAACGGGAGTCCATTAAATATGGGCAAACATCCATAAATGTTAGACGGCCGTTCATTCACGAAAAACTCCAACATGGTCACATCTGACTGGTTACCATATCCTTCGATACAAAAATTGGGTGTAAAATTTCGGTGTCCATAACTCACAAGTTAATGATATTTTCTTAAACCAAGAACAGATTTACCCTGTAGTCAGGGAGAGTCCAATCAGTATTGCATCAGCATCAGTCTTGAGACGGACAGAAATTTCGATACAAAAACTTGCAATACGGTTTGTTAACACAGCTTCTCAAGTTTCATCCCAATTGGGATCATGGGATTCTGTGAAGTACTGCAACATTCATCCGTATTCTGTGAAGTACTGCAACATTCATCTGTATTCTGTGAAGTACTGCAACATTCATCTGTACTGTCAGATACTCATTGAAGGATGAAGCATCTTCCTAGTCTTGTCAATTGTTGGTTCTCAATTTCTCATCATGGGCGAAACAAATGAAAAAAGACTCACCCTTCACTGAAGCATGGGAATAAGATGGCAAGCTAGCTGGTCAAGACACAATGGTTTGCACTTGGCATTGGCATCACATTAGAAACAGTAAGGTAAAAAATTAGGTTAAGATATCTACATAGTTTCCATTCAACCAACTCAATGCATACATGAAGTGCATATTGAGAAAACAGCAACTATATTACTAAGTTAATACAAAAACCTGAACCTTCAATTGATACATTGTCATTCACCCCATTGTACATTCATGGACAACACTTTCAAATCTATAGATGCCATCTAACAGAACCCCCCAACATAAAGGCGGAACAGAAACATACATATAAGAAAGGATAGGGCATTTCACACACATGAATTGATGAATGCCTGTGCCGAATCCACATGAGAATACTATCCCATACATATTCAAATGACAAACTTCTAAGTAGCTAATTATGAGTCTAAAGAAGGTGAAGCTAATACAATTGGAGCCCACTTGCAGATGAAAAAGCAAACAAAGGAACCGAGCTAATGTAAGACAATAATGGAAGGCCCTATATCTTACAATCTTTGATATCTTTGGCTAAAAAAATGAAAATTAGTTGGTCAGTTGAGCAAGGCGGTGATATAAACTAACCAAAATTGGTATATCAAGCAATAAGGGCTAAGATTGAGAGAATAATATCCGATACGAGATCATAATTAGAATGCACATCAAGGTTGAACAAAAATGCCTTCAAGACATTTTGTTACCACCATTGCTGGTTGATAGGAATGTAAATGCAACAGCCCATTCTCGTTTAGTATTTTCAGGCACCTTGTCTTTCCCAATGAAAGGAGTCCAGGTATCTTCAGAAGTCTTTGTCAGCACCCATTGGATCTTTTCAGGTGCATTGCAATAATCGAAGTTCGAAGGCGCGGGCGCGGGCGCAGGCATGGGTGTTGGTGTGGGCGCAGGGACGGTCTTGCCTTTTGTGCCAGACTTCTGTTTATGGCTCCCCAGAGAATGGAAAGAATAAGTGCGTGCAAGAAAAAAGGGACAGCAAGAAAAATGAATAACATTGATCTTGGACAACTTCAACAAAAACAAAAAGTCCTCATTTGTACTCACATCCACATCAGCATTGGAGTTCTCCGCTCCTTTCTTCCTTTTACGTGGAGTTCCAGTTTCCAAGAAGTAAAGCACCTCCTTTTTTGATCTGAATCGACGGGCTGAGGATGGGTCAAAATAATACTGCACAAGATAAAGAGATATTAGGTTGGGTCTGAACTTCCACCATCAAAAGAAATGTTTCCCCAATATATTTTTTTCTATGTAGCACTTTTTATTCATTCTCTTGTAACAAATCAGCAAGTCTTCCTAAGATCCTAAACAAATATCCTACACAGTCGACAAATTATTCACAGATGCTTTGAAGAGAACTTAACCTCACTTCTCACAATGTAAATGATATATCTCATCTGCAGTAATGCCTAAACAGTCTAAAAATGATTTCAACCTCGTAAAGATATCACAAAATACAGAATCCTTTCTTGAAAAACTATTAGCCAAAGTGCAAAAATTATTTCTATCATCTGTCCCTCAAAAAAGCTTTTTAGACTGATGCAGTAATACATCAACTCTATTTCTGCGCTGAAGAAGTGCTTTCCCACTGGCATAGTATATCTAATTCCACAATTCAGGATAATTTCAGCCTTCGTGACTTCAGGAATCTGACACAGAAGAGCATAAACCAACTAAAATTACAGATAAAAGCAACATCAATGATTTGCAAGAGCGAAGGACTCATTTGATAATCAGAACTGCCCTAACGCCTTTTTCAAAAAATTTCTACCTACTTCAAAAACTCAAATTAACCAGCCCACGAACATTGAGTAAATTCAAAAAACCTAACCAAGTTTGCCCATTGCAAAAAATCAACTAAATGGCATCAAATGCCAACTTTTAATTCATCAGGGGGCATATACTGATGCACCAAATTACCAAACCATTGTACAAATCCAATTTTATTTCAAGAGAATCAATCAAATAAAAGAACACGAGAGATTTAACATATGCATAAAATTAGACAAGAACAACCCTGCCAATAAACTACAAATTGATATTTCTACTATTTATTGCATGATCTAAATAAAACATTAGCAAAAACATGATAACATAAAATCAATTTCCGCATAAATAAAACCCAATTAAACATGAAGCAAGTAAAATATTTCAGAGAATAGAGAATATTAACCCTATCAATAAGTCCAGCTGTCGCTCCAGAACTCCTAACCCTATCTTCAACTAACCAACCGGGCGGCAACCATTCCGGCGTCTCCGGCGGCGGCGCCGTAGGTGGCCGGCGCTTTGACGGCGTACTCTGAGATTCTGATCCATTTGAGGTAGCTTGGTTAGGTGATTTTTTATTTTGAGTATGGGCACTGGTAGTGGTGCTGGCGGCTGTGGCGGTGGCAGTGGTGGTGGTGGTGGTAGGGTTAGGAGTGGGGCTAGGAGTTGGAGAATTGGCGGTGATGAAGGATCCGGACTTCAGTAGCGGGTCGGGTGGGAAATCGGCGGAGGAGGATAGGGGAACAGGTGGGTCGGCTTGTTGAGATTTTAGGTTCGGGTCATGGGGCAGTGGTGGTGGAGTGGAGGTTGACATGGCGATCACCGGGTTTTCATTTTGGGGACTTTAAATTGCGACAGGTTATATCATGGGGGAAACATAATATAATACTATTAAGATAAAAGTTATTAGAGTTGGAAATATTCTAGCCGTTTGATCTGGCATTGCACGCTCAGTCAACTGGGGCTACCGTACATGTAATCTGCCTTTACTAAATCTACCTGACATTTGTCTTTCTTTTTGTATTATAAATTCTTCAAATTCAATAGTGTTAAGAAAATGTTCGGGTCTGTTCGGTATACTGTTTTCTATCATATTTTTAAACATACTCTTGAAATAACTGTTTGGTTAATTATTTAGAAAATATTATTATATTATATTTAATTACTTTTAGATTTCTTAAATTTATTAATTTAATAAAACACCTCCCTAAAAAAGTTTAAAAATTAAAAAAAAAAAAAACACCTCTACCCACTCACATTTGCCAGATATCGACGGTCATCATCGGACGGTGGTCAGAATCTGGTATAATCCAATCGGTAGTACGTCGATCTATCATTTTTTGGTCAGATCCATCGTGAATCCAGTCGAAAAATGTTAGATCTACGACCAAAGATCTAGTCATTGACGGTCATATCTTTGACAGTAGCTGGTCGTCAACGACAGCCACATCTTTGGTCATCGTTAACAACTAAACATGGCTAGATCTGACATTTTTTGACCAGATCCACAGTGGATCTGGCTAAAAAAAGGTCATCTCGATGCACAACTGACCAGATCTAGTTGGTCGTACGTCGATACGGTAAATCGAACCACCCTCTAACGGTAATGACCGACTGCCAGTATTTAATGGGTGGATGAGAGTGTTTTTATAATTCTAAATATTTTTATTAAGAAGTATTTAGTAAATTGACAAATCTAGAGGCGTTTTATTAATTTTTAAATACTACCTTCTTATTCCCATCCAATTCTAAATATATGCAAAATACTAAATCAAACACACCTTTTTAGCATAAAACGAGATAATGTCACTGTTTATATCAGAGTATCAGACTGGGCTAATCAACAAGATTGTCCAGTCCATTATGCTAAATGTCTCCGGCAAACTCTTGAAATTAGTGCTTCGTGTCTGTCAATATAATAACTTTAAGTAGCCCAAACCAAAATGAAGAAATAAACAGCAGTGGTTGATGTGCCACCACGCATGTGCTGAGACTGAGAATAGCTCCCGTCCCAATATTATATTTCATTTTGGATATGAGGAAATTTATTTTCATTGGCCCAAGTGGTTATAGAGAGACGTGAAGGTTAAGAATAAAGTCAACAGATCCAAGGGCATAAGGCCAACACATTTCTCAATTCTATAGCACAACATTTTAGCTTTCTCAATACACCTATCAATCAAAATCCTGGAAAAACCCTTGTTCAAATGAGCGGCCTCACAATATCCTCAATCATTGGCCCAAACCTATACAAATCCAATTTAAGCATACATTTTTTTTTCCGATGGAAAACAACCAGATTCTTCTCAAAACAGCCTGATTAAAAGAAAAGATTCAACAGATTATTGAATGTGTTTATTCCCGTTGAAAACCCTTATCAACCTATTGGATCAAACAAAACAAGGCTTCATATTATGAACTTCGATTTTATATGGTCAAGAAGAGGATCAAGCTAGGTTTATTTTCAATCAATGTTATTATTTAAATTGTAATATTTTTTGTTATACCGTAAATTTATGCATGAATCCTAGACAAGTGTCCTGTGACTAAGGAACTCGTGCATGAACTCTCGCCACGCGTCCTGTGATAACGCATTTGTCCAGGTTGTGTGTTACACTAGAAAGGAGTTACTTCACTTGTAAGACTGTCATAGGTTACTTCAATAGTAAGATTCAGGGTTGAGCTGTCATTCATGTTGTGTGTCACCTTATAAGAAGATTATTTCACTATTAAGTCTCCAATAAAAGGTGGTTTGTCAGGCCACGTGTCATGCGATGAGAGAGTTGCTTCATGAGTTAGACCAACCCATGCAACAATACAATAGGGATCTCCCACACCAAATCAAGGGTCTAGAACCTCATTTTTTGCCGTAGATATAAAGCAGTTGTCCCTCTTAAGAGCATATATCTTCTGTAAACACATCAATAAGATAACAATAGACGTAAGATTTGCATATTGCATCCGAACTACTTTAAAAATTATTTTTGTCTATTCTTTTTTATTTAAATGCATTATTGTTATTATTTTTCATTGGTTTAATATCATATTTTATGATCTCGAGCAAACCTTTTGTGCGAACTCCCATAGAAGACTCGCGTACTTCTCGTTGATGTGAAAAACCGCAACAACATTTTTGTATGATTTAATGCTGCAACTAGGAAACCATGGCACCATTCTTTAAAATTAACCAAATTTTAGAGGGATCGAATAAAAATAACACACCTTGAAAACCTAACTATATTAATTAATAAATGCATCTTTGTATATAAATACCCTTGTGTAGCTGCCTTTTCAGTTACAATTTCCAAAATTCTCATCACGCCGCTTAATGTTTTAACCCAACTGCCCAAGTTTGCAAATCTTTGGTTCGTCTTCTTCGACAAAATACACAAATCATAATTTTTTTTATTTATTATTTTAACATAATAGCAACATATACTAACTTAATATAAACTACCATTGGGTGGTCGAGTGGGGCGATATAAACTCTTGGATGTATTACTTAAGAGGTCTTGAGTTTGATTCTCTTCGGTTACAAATAGGGGGTGGCCAAAAGAAAGTTGACCCGATCGTTAATTTCAGGGTCCCAAAGATTAGTCGAAATGTGTGTGAACTGGCTCGGACGCCCTCAATCACCAAAAGAAAAAAAAAAAAACCTAATATAAACATATATTTTATATATATAAAAGAGATTGAGAGAAAGTTAAAAAAGAAAAGAGAGAGAAAGAGATTGAAATGTTGGGTAGAGGGCAATTTTTGAATATTTATAATTATTAATTAATATAGTTTAGGTTTTGGAGATTTGGTTATTTTTGCCCTAATTTTATTCATCACTTCAAGTAATCACGTGTGGTTAATTTAGCTTATTTATCCCTCAAATTCGTTTGGGTCTTTCCACTTTCACACGTCCCTAAGTGTACACGCCACCACCACCGCAGCGTGTTGTCCTATACAAATTAAACATAACAATTAGACAAATTTTAAACTACCCCTGTACTTTCTTTTATTATTTTGAAATTAATACGTAGGCCGAACGGTATGCACTCACCATAGTTTGCCATAAAAGCAATTTGATACCAAAAGGTTTAAAAATGATAATTACTTACTTTTTGTCTAAATTTATTAGTAAAATCCGTTTAACTAAGGATAATATAGTAATTTTATATCTATTAATTTTAAATTAATCCATAAATCTCTGATTTTTTATCCTATTTTTTTATTTCATTTTTCTCTTCTCTCTCTTGTCTTCTTCTTCATCTCTCTCTTCTCTTCTTTCCTTTTCTCCGTCTTTTCTCTCCTCCCCTTCTCTTTTTTTACCTGTCTTCTCCCTCTTTTCCCTTCTCTTTCTTTCCTTTCTTCTCTGTCTTTTCCCTCCTCCCCTTCTCTTTTTTACTTTTCTTCTCCCTCTTTTTCCTTCTCTTTCTTTCCTGGTGGCTTACTATCTTTCTTGTGTGATGTAGGAGCTTTTGGGAAGTGACAGCAAAGGATGCCCAGCTGAGGAGAATGTGGAGGCAATATGTCAGTTTTTTAACACCATTGGCAAGCAGCTGGATGAGAGCCCAAAATCAAGGTGTGTCACTGATGTCTATTTTAGTAGGTTGAAGGAGTTGACCACAAATCAACAACTTGCCCCACGGTTGAGGTTCATGGTTCGCGATGTTTTAGATCTGCCAAGAAGGGAAAAGAGGGAGAAGAAAAGGAAAAAGAGAAGGGAAAAGAGGGGGAAGAAAGGAAAGAAAGAGAAGGGAAAAGAAAAGGAAAAAAGAGAAGGGGAGGAGGGAAAAGACGGAGAAAAAGAAAGAAGAGAAGGGAGAGATGAAGAAGAAGATAAGAGAGAGAAGAGGAAAATGAAATAAAAAATAGGATAAAAAAATTAGAGATTTATGGATTAATTTAAAATTAATGGATATAAAATGTTAAACGGAATTTTACAAAATAATTGGCTGCGTTTGGTTGAAAATTTGGGGGTTTTGGGAAAAGTTTTTTGAAAAAAGTTAAAAAAAAGTTGAATTGGGCGGGTATTACGAGGTAAAATTTATAAATTAATAAAATCTCCTTTATGTTTGTTTTTTTTTACAAAATACCCCCTATAATAAAACATTAAAAGTTAACAAAAATACCCCTAATCCACCCTCAAACACCCCCAGCCGGCGACCACCACCGGAGGTGGCCGGAGTCGCCGTATGGGCGCATGACCGGTTGGATCTTGCCGGTCATGCGTCGCTATGGCCTTTTCCGGCCAGATCCACGGTGGATCTGGCCGGAAAAGGCCAGATCTACGGTCAGATCTGGCCGTCAACGGCCAGATCTGGCCGTATTTGCTCTCAACGACGGCCAACAAACGGTCGTCGTTGATGGTCAACGACGACCGTTTGTTGGCCGTCGTGACCGAGTGTTACGGCCAAAGATCTGGCCGTCAACGGCCAGATCTTTGGCCTTAGATCTGGCCTTTTCCGGCCAGATCCACCGTGGATCTGGCCGGAAAAGGCTAGATCGGCGCACTGCCGGCCAGATTCAGCCGGTAGTGCGCCATTCTACCAGATTCCGGCCATTTTCCGGTGGTGGTGGCCGGAATCTGGTAAATTTGGATTATTGGGGTGTTTTTGTAATTTAAAAAAAAATATTTAGGGGTATTTAATTAAATTATCAAATTTAAGGGGTTTAAAAAAAGTTGAATAATTTTGGGAGTAGTATTCCCAAAAATCTGAAATTTTGGGTAATTTACTGTTTAACTTTTTTGGGAATACTAAAAGTAGTATTCCCAAAAGTTTACCAAACGCAGCCATTATTATTTTCAAACATTTTGGATACTAAATTATCTTTACAACAAACTAAGAGTACGCACCTATCGTTGGGCCTTAATATGCACAAAATAATCATAAGTAACCCATGCAACCTAACGCCGTTACCGACCCTTAACCCTTGAAGGGCACAAATTGAACTCACTCTTTATTAACAATTTTTAAGAGTAATTACTAGATCCCCCAAGTTTTAAGAAAATATTCCGACCACCTTATAGGTAAGAAATTATCACTTAAACCCATCCCTTTCTTTACATTTTCTCTCCCCAAACAAACTCATTTTTCTTTTTCAATTCTCTCTCCATTTTCCCATAAACCTAGTAGATTGAGATTCCTTTCTCTTTCTTACTATTCTACGGTAACCAAACAAATCTCCTCACTTTTTTTCCAACTAAAAACTAAACGTTACGGAAACTGGATATTCAGCTGCGGTTTTCCATGGCTTCTACCCAACCACACCGGCTTGCCCAATTGCTGTGCCGCTTATGCCACCAGCTAAAGGCTAAACCAGCTGCGTGTGGGCTGATTGCCTACCCACCCAGTACGTGAGTCCATCAGTCGGCCCTGAACGGATGGACATGAATTTGTATTGTAATTTAAGTTGTAAAAGATTCATATAATTTCGTAATATAAACAGTAAAAGACAAAAAATGTTTGTCACTGAATAATTCATAACATGAAAATAATATTTTTTCAACTATAAAAGGGTATTTATGTAAATTGACTGTAGCGGTTGATAACCACGTGTAAAGTTATAAGGTAGTGTATTATGATTTTCAGACTTTGTCTATAATTATATTCTGACAATAATAATGAAACTACGAGGCTAGTTTTGAAATTTAATCCCATCCCCTACCCCTACCGACCTCTCCTCAATCGTCATATGAAATCCTTCCACGCAACAACAAAAGCGCGTGAGACATAATTCTATCCAATTCACATTTCACTCCAACATTAACAGTAATGCAAGACAAAACTAACTCTTCCACTCTCATCTCTTCACTTCTCAACTCAACCATGGCTACTCTAACTAAACTCTCTCAACTTCTTCTCTTACTTATCTCATGCCACCTCACCTTCCGCCCCGGCAACGCCGTTGCCAGTTACTCCATCGGCATCAACTACGGAGCCATCGCCAATAACCTTCCGCCACCTCAGCAAGTCGCCAACTTCCTTAAAACCCGAACCAGCATTAACCGCGTCAAACTCTTCGATGCAAATCCCGATTTCCTGCGGGCCTTCGCCAACACTAACATTTCCGTAACCGTTACCATCGGTAACGGCGACATCCCTGCTCTGGCCAAACTGCCCGCCGCGCAGTCCTGGATCGCGAATAACATTCTGCCACATCACCCTCAAACAATCATCAGATACATAACCGTTGGTAACGAAGTCTTGGCCACGTTAGATAAAAACCTAGTCGCTCATCTTCTGCCTTGCATGAGAGCTCTAAAATCAGCTCTCGATCTGGCGAAGTTGAGCAGTATCCAAGTAACTACACCTAATTCGCTGGGTATTTTATCGGCTTCTGAGCCTCCAAGCGCGGGAAGATTTCGAAAGGGTTATGATAAAGCTGTATTCGCTAAGATACTCGAGTTTCATAATCAGACCAAATCGCCGTTTATGGTTAACCCGTACCCGTATTTTGGTTTTAAGCCACAGACGCTAAACTACGCTTTGTTTAAGCCAAACGCCGGCATCTTTGATCCAGCGACGGGGAAAAATTACACAAACATGTTTGATGCGCAGCTTGACGCTGTTTACTCGGCAATGAAGAAGGTCGGTTATGGTGATGTGGAAATTGTAGTGGGGGAGACCGGTTGGCCGTCGGCGGGTGATCCGAACCAACCGGATTCGAATTTACAGAACGCGCTGTCCTATAATGGGAACCTTGTGAAGCATGTGAACGCCGGTGAAGGGACGCCTCTTATGCCTAATCGGAGTTTTGAGGTTTACCTTTTCGCTTTGTTCAATGAGAATCTGAAACCGTCTATCTCGGAGCAGAATTTCGGGTTGTTTAAACCCGATTTCAGTCCGGTTTACGATGTGGGCATTTTACGCAGTAAACAGGTATGTTAATGTTATTAGTCTGTAAATAACATCTTTTCTCTTGCAATTGAACTATCCATGCACAGGAACTCATTAGTGTTACAGAGCAGAGTTGAATTTATGTTTTTGACTGTTTGAATCGTGTTTTAAGGGATGTCAGGGAAAAACGTGTTCTTTCCGATCACTAATAGCCACAATTACGCACCACGATTTGCATTTCATCTTCTGACACTTGCCAGCTTTAGGTTAATGTACAGACACCTTTGTGGAAAACAGATGCTATCTTTCTTGGCTGTTATTTCACTGAATTACCCTTTCATTTGTTGTATATCTACACCTTTCCCAAGAACAATGTTAGTTTGTTCGAGTGGTATTTTTGTCACATTATTTAAAAATTAAGCTCCTTGCTTAAACAAGTAAAAAGTATTCAGAATTCATCACGCAAACGCAATTATTTTGTTTAGAAATTAGAAAAAGTTGAAATCCATCTGGACTCTTTTTTTTTTTTCTTTCTTTAACAAGGCACAAGGTCCCACCTCTCCTGCTGCACAGCCACCATCAGCTGCTTCACAGCCAGCATCAGCGGCTGCACAGCCACCATCAGCTGCTTCAAAGCCACCATCAGCGGCTGCACAGCCACCATCAGCGGCTGCACAGCCACCATCAGGGGCCATGAAGTGGTGCGTACCGAAATCAGACGCCACTGATGCGCAGCTACAGGCGAACATAGACTACGTGTGTGGTACTGGATTGGACTGCAAGCCTATACAGGCTGGTGGGACCTGTTTCAATCCGAACAACATACGGTCACATGCATCATATGCCATGAACGCATACTATCAGGCCAATGGACGACACGATTATGAATGTGATTTCGGCCACACCGGAGTCCTCACTTCCACGAATCCAAGTACATCATAAATCATCCCAACCGTTACTTTTTTTTTTCTTTTTTCTTTTTTTAAATGTAATAAAGTTGGCCTTTATTTGATTTGAAATTTTGGATTGTGGCAGGTTACGAGGCATGTGATTACTCTTCAGTTGAAGAAGTGAAGGTAGAAAAGTCGGTGGCGGCAAACACGATGATATTTTGTGCCGTTAGGGCGGTGATTATGGTAACTTTAATTCAACTTTTATTTGTAATTTAAACGGAAAAGCAAAAGAGTGGGCCTAACTTATTTTTTTGGGTTTGTATTTTTCCCTATTTTTGTCTCGTCATTATGACTATTTATAAGGCCTTGTATTAGTTTTTAACTTAGTATAGTGCTATTTGCTTTTGTCAGCTGTGGCTAAGTATGTGAGTTCAGTCAACAGATTAGATATTGTTTAAATATAATATACAGGTGTGAGATTCTTAATGAGAAGAGAAATAGCCCAATAAGAGATTGCAGAAATTAAAAAAATTATGAGATTACCATGAAAGAAGAAGATAGAATAACTTGCTTTTATGTTTTCTGAAAATATACGTTTTTAAAAAAAGAATAAAATAATTTTCAAAATTTGTATAATATCGCCGTCTGTGGGGATCGAACCCACGACCACGTGGTTAAAAGCCACGCGCTCTACCGCTGAGCTAAGACGGCCTGATGTATATTTAGTTCATAATATTAATAGTCTAGCTTTCAGTTTGTACATCCAACATTACGCTTGAAAATGTAGTGTTTTGATCTCTAAATAATCATTTGAAGCCAATAAAATGACTCTCTACACTCATTTTTTAAAGCGGTTATTACAAAGCTCACCGTAATACATATAAGTAGATAAATGTCAAGTTGAATGAAAAATATAATAAAAAATGTGAAAGGGAATAATCTTTTTAAGCTGTAAATATTGTGTGCAATTATTATAAGAGTTAACCACTTTTTCCCACCCAAAAAAAAGCTTAATTATACTTTTCCACCCCGGACTTTTCAAAAACCATTTTAGTATTCAAATATTATGTTTCTCTCTAGTTTGGGTTGGAAATATAGTGATTTTCATTGTGAAGACAAAAATATAATTCTCTCACAACTAGCGTTGGAAAAACTAGGGGTGTTCAAAAGAACCTGTTGGAACCGGAATTGGCGGGTACCCGGGGTTTGGTTCCGGTTCCTACCCAGAACTAACCGTTAACGGGTAGGTTCCGATTCCAAACTTTTGAAACCGGAACCAGGAATCAGGAACTGAGACTAATATAAAATAAAATTAAATATTAGGGGGGTTAATAAAAACTTTTGTAGAAAAAGTAATGTGAATACATTTATATTTATATTTCATAACATTTAAAGTAAGTTGGTTTGACTTTTGAGAACCTACCTTTACAAAGTAATGGAGTTTGTAATTTTGAATTTTGAGTTTATAATTTGTAATTTTATTTTTGTTAACAAGTGCCAAGTGGGGGGTTTTTGTAAGTTTTTAAGGGTTTTTTTTGGCCATTTTAAATACTTTTGGGGGGTCATTATAATTTTATACGGTACCCAAAACCGAAACCAAAACCGTTATTATAGGTTCTGGTTCCAAATTTCAAGGGACCGTCGGTTCTGGTTTCAGTTTCGGTTCCTTCAAAAAATATAGGGTATCCGGAACCGAACACCCCTAGGGAAAATGGTGAACAGTAAAACCCTAGGTGGTGGAGAATGGCGAACGACGTGCAATTGGCAAATCAACAGACGATTTTGCTTAATTTCATCAATCAAACACACCCCAAATTCATTATGCAACCACAACCAGAACCCTAGGAAGAAGACAGTGGGGATCAGCGAGCAAATGGGGTTAGGGCTGTTAGAGGTTTTGGAGAAAGGAAGATGAGGATTCTGGTGGTGGTTTCAAGGTGGATTTCCGACATTGAAAACAATCAAAAATCGACCTGGAAGTTGAAATGTCGCGCGATGCAAGGCTGGCGATCAGCAAGCAAGGGACGGTGATGGATGTAAGGGTCTTATAGAGTGAGTTGTGGGGAGTGTGATAACGGTGTCTAGGGGAATGTCTGGCAAAAGAAACCGACCAAAAATCCAACTTGAAGAGTTGGCTGTGCGAATGGAGGTGGTGGGTGGGAAATGGTGAGTGATGACGGCAAATGGAGGCTTGGTCTTTGTAGAGGAAGTGATGGGGATTCTGTGGGTCGTCTCGTAAGTGATTTTGAGTGCCGAGATTGACCGAAAAAGGCAAAAACCATTGGTTGCGATGCTGCTAACGTGCGCTATCATTTTTCTTTTCTTCTTCTCCGAGTGCTTAAATGCTTGTTGACCATTCTATCCTCACTTATAATTAAAAGTCTGAGGGTGGAAAATGCTATTAAGCTTTTTTTTTTTTGGGTGCGAAAAAGTCGTTGAGTACTCTTATTGTAATGGATATAATTAGTGTTTGTATGGGTGCACACATAGGTCATAGGTGGTCGCTAATCCTTATCTTGTTATGTGTTCATAATAAAGCTTTCGTTACTAATTTTAGTGACCCTCAAATATTACATTATATGGGTGAAGAAATTTTTGCTAATAAGTANCAATATAATAATTTTATATCCATTAATTTTAAATTAATCCATAAATCCCTAATTTTTTTTTATTTCATTTCTCTCCTCTTTCTTATTTTCTTCTTCGTCTCTCCCTTCTCTTCTTTCTTTTTCTTTGTCTTTTCCCTCCTCCCCTTCTCTTTTTTTACTTTTCTTCTCCCTCTTTTCCCTTCTCTTTCTTTCCTTTCTTCTTCGTCTTTTCCCTCCTCCCCTTCTCTTTTTCCTTTTCTTCTCCTTCTTTTCCCTTCTCTTTCTTTCCTTTAGTTCATTGATTAGCCTAGTGGCTTACTATCTTTCTTGTGTGATGTAGGAGCTTTTGGGAAGTGACAGCAAAGGATGCCCAGCTGAGGAGAATGTGGAGGCAATATGTCAGTTTTTTAACACCATTGGCAAGCAGCTGGATGAGAGCCCAAAATCAAGGCGTGTCACTGATGTCTATTTTAGTAGGTTGAAGGAGTTGACCACAAATCAACAACTTGCCCCACGGTTGAGGTTCATGTTTCGCAATGTTTTAGATCTGCCAAGAAGGGAAAAGAGGGAGAAGAAAAGGAAAAAGAGAAGGGAAAAGACGAGAAGAAAGGAAAGAAAGAGAAGGGAAAAGAGGAGAAGAAAAGGAAAAAAGAGAAGGGGAGGAGGGAAAGGACGGAGAAGAAAGGAAATAAAGAGAAGGGAAAAGAGGGAGAAGAAAAGTAAAAAGGGCGAAGGGGAGGCGGGGAAAGACGGAGAAAAAGAAAGAAGAGAAGGGAGAGATGAAGAAGAAGATAAGAGAGAGAAGAGAAAAATGAAATAAAAAAATAGGATAAAAAAATTAGAGATTTATAAATTAATTTAAAATTAATGGATATAAAATGTTAAACGGATTTTATTAACAAATTTAAACAGGAAGTAGATAATTATCATTTTCAAATATTTTGAATACCAAATTATCTTTATGACAGACTATAAGTACATATCGTTTAGCTTTAATATGCACAAAACAATAGTAAGTAACCCTGCAACCTAACGCCGTTACCGACCCTTAACCCTTGAAGGGCACAAATTGAACTCACTCTTTATTAACAATTTTTAAGGGTAATTACTAAATCCCCCAAGTTTAAAGAAAATATATCCGACCACCTTATAGGTAAGAAATTATCACTTAAACCCATCCCTTTCTTTACATTTTCTCTCCCCAAACAAACTCATTTTTCTTTTTCAATTCTCTCTCCATTTTCCCATAAACCTAATGGATTCCTTTCTCTTTCTTACTATTCTACGGTAACCAAACAAATCTCCTCACTTTTTTTTCCATTTTCACTTTAACTAAAAACTAAACGTTACGGAAACTGGATATTCAGCTGCGGTTTTCCATGGCTTCTACCCAACCACACCGGCTTGCCCAATTGCTGTGCCGCTTATGCTACCAACTAATGGCTACAACAGCTGCGTGTGGGCTGATTGCCTACCCACCAAGTTACGTGAGTCCATCAGTCGGCCCTGAACGGATGGACATGAATTTGTATTGTAATTTAAGTTGTAAAAGATTCGATTAATTTAGCTCATTAATAAAAACAGTAAAAGACAAAAAATGTTTGTCACTGAATAATTCATAATATGAAATAAATTGGGTGGGTTGTTTTGTTATTTTGAATGAGATTTTGAGAAATATGGAGTATAACGAGATAAAATTTAAAAATTTATAAAAAAATTCCATAAGTTTGCTAATTTAACTAAATATAATATATAATTTTTTATAAAATAACAAAAATCCCTACCATCACAGTGCTAGATTTGGTCACCATCGGATACTGGTCGAAAAATATGAATTACGATACAGACTGTCGGATCTAGCTGATTATGTGTCGATATGGCCTTTTTTGACCAGATTCACCACCCGATCTAGTCGAAAAAGGTCAAAATCGCGGTCAATGGTTGGAAAGGCTAGATTTGGCCTTAAGCGACGACCAAGATTTGATTGTCATTGACGTCAAAACAGCCATATCTTTGGCTATTGTTGACCAGATCTACTGTGGATTGATCAGAAAAGGCCAAATCGATGAATTTCGGCCAATTCTGATTGTTCCTATGCGTTGTGATAGATTGACAATCATTGACGGTGGTTGTCAGAATCTGATAACTATGGATATGTGGAAGTATTTTTATTGATTTTTAAATTTTTTTTTATGAGTGTTTAATTAAATAATAAATTTAAGGGGTTTAAAAAATATTAAAAAATATAATAGTATTTCTCAAATAATTAAATAAACGTAATTTTGAGAATATAATAGGCAATAATAAAACAAAAGCACCGAAATTTTTTTTAAACTATAAAAGGGTATTTACGTAACATTGACTGTACCGGTTGATAACCACGTGTAAAGTTATAAGATAGTGTATTATGATTTTCAGACTTTGTCTATAAATATATTCTGACATAATAATGAAACTACGGGTAGTTTTGAAATTATCCATCCCCTACCCCTACCGACCTCTCCTCAATCGTCATATGAAATCCTTCACGCAACAACAAAAGCGCGTGAGACATAATTCATCCATTCATTTCACCAACATAACAGTAAAGCAAGACAAACACTCTCTTCCTTCATCTCTTCACTTCTCAACTCAACCATGGCTACTCTAACTAAACTCTCTCAACTTCTTCTCTTATTATCTCATGCACCTCACTTCCGCCCCGGCAACGCCGTTGCCAGTTACTCCATCGGCATCAACTACGGAGCCATCGCCAATAACCTTCCGCCACTCAGAAGTCGCCAACTTCCTAAAACCCGAACCAGCATTAACCGCGTCAAACTCTTCGATGCAAATCCCGATTTCCTGCGGGCC